GAAAGAAAGCTGGATTTTGGGACTGTTTTGGCTGGGCAACGGATGCAGGAAGAGAAGCTGGCTCCCTCCTGGCTGGGGAAAAGAGCAGCTGCTCCTTCTGCCCCTCCTGGATTTTGTCCATGGCAAGGGGGAAGTGATAGATCACCTAACGAGGGTGTAACGACCACGCTCATTTCTGTCTTCCAGCTCCAAGTGCTTGCAGGGTAATTACACATTTTGGACTTATTAGCTATAATTACTAAGTTCCCTCATCTACAGAATGTGTCGGTAGAGTCCTGGCAGCCCCGCGTGATTTCAATACACTCAGAAAACTTTCTGCAGCTTTTTCTCCTCGGCCTCAACCCTCGACAGCTACCAGAGGCTGTGGTTCCCTGACCTGGGACTGGCTCAGGGCAGGTTTCTGGGCTTATCTCACAGCATGCCACACACAAGGAACTCTTTTAGGATTCTCCTACCTATCTGACTGGTAAGAGCCCAAGTTTCTCCCCAGCCCTGCGGCCGTCTCGCAGCCCAGACCCTGCCTTCACCCCCAAAATTAAACCCAGCCTGGCAATTACTGCTCATCTCCCTCTGCAGCGGGGTGAGCTGGCAGCTTGGCCAGGGCTGGAAAGGCAGAGCCCGTGGGAAAGCCTGGGATTCCCACACCTCGGACAATTAACTTCTCCACCTCCCATTTCCCAGGGCAGCTCAGCTTTGCTAGTGCAGCCTTTTTCCAAAATGCCTTTAATTTCACACCGATGCATGAATCAGAGAAGCCAATCTCTCGGCCTGTCCCTGCAGAGGTACCCAAGGGCAAAGTTGGCTCCACAGCCCCGGCCTCAGATGTAATGCCTCCAAAAACAGAGCCAAGCTCGACCTAAAAATACTGCAGAGCCCATACCCAAGTGCAGGGGGTGAAGCCTGAAGGTGTTTCCCCTTCAAATACCGAAGGGGAAAAGGTAATCAAACAAAACCAGAAAAGAAAAAAAAAAAGTTTGTGGCCACAGCAGCAGCATCCCTGTCACTATCCTGCTTACAGCAGTGCTCCAAAAAGCCTTGGAGGAGGGAGAAGAGGGGAAATCAGGCACTTGTCAGGAGTCAGGACTGCCTGGGAGAGTTGTCCTCTTTCAGAGGCAGCAAACTCCATCCCTGCTAACAGAGCTAACGCATCTCTCCAGGACAACAAAATGCAACACAGTACAACATTAACTGATCTAAGGAAAAAATACCATGAAAATGCCACGTGGGACTTCTTGTTACCAGCACCTAATACCCCTTGAAAGCAGTACTCACCTGGGGGAGCCTGGTGGCCACCTCACACCGGGCTGAACAGGAGAGCAATGGCAGTGTAAAAGCAGAATATCATCCCTGTGACAGTTTTGGGAGAGAAAAATAAAACGGTGACCACCATCTTTTAGTTTCCTTGGGAACCAACACCCCATCCGTGATGCAAACAATGAGCTACCCAAGTAGATAAACTCTGGGTCCTCTTCCCTCTGGGGAAGTCTCCAAGGAGCTTCTGCTGAAGTCGGTAGGGCACAGGTGGGTTTGTGCAAACATAAGAGGGAAGAATATGGACAGCAGGCTTCAAAAGCAAGGTTATGGGTATCTCTTATGGTGGCTCTGGGTTTCTGGCCCCCAACCTGCAGGTCAGATGGCCGGATCATCCACAAGTATCATTTATCTTATTGTATGCTTCAGAATTGCCGCCTCGCTACTCTACAGTAAAAGCACTGTCCAACACCTAGAGCAGAGAGTGGCTACAACGCCAATCATTAGAGTAGCAATTACTTATCTCACAGGAGCTCTGAGAGGCTTAATTAGTTAATATTTGTAAACCCTGATGAGCTCCAGAGATGAAGGATGCAAAACATCCATGGGAAGAGATGCTCTCAACCAAGCTCAGCCGCTGCCGGCTGAGCATCCCCGTACGGGCCAGAGAGCCCGGCTGCTCCTCGCAGTACAGTAAGGCTGAGACACACCTAAGGGAGCGTTCCCTGCCGCGTGCTAGCTCTCTGAAACCCAGCATGAATATGACACTAATGACATCTTTCAGAAATGTAATTAGCCTTCATTCATGGCAAGGTACATTAGGGAGAATTCAGAGGCTCGGCGAAGTGGGCTCCGGTGGGTGAGAACCGAGGCTTGTGCTTTGAAAGCTGCATTAGGGAAGGGGAAAAAAATAGAAAAGAAAATGTTCTAATATTACTTAATTACCCCAAGACATCCTCAGATGTAATCGAGCTCGGAGGGCTAAATGAAGGCAGCGCGCGTGAGACCGGCAGCGGCTGATGCATTTATAATGAGACCACTTTGCAAGGCAAACTAGGTCCCCACCGAGGAAGAGGGGGGCGAAGAGGAAGGACACGGGGGCTTGGGGAGGAGCTGCAAAGTTCCTGAAGACCTGCCCATCTCCAGCGGCTTCGCGTGGAGTCCTGCTCCCTCTGCTCGGGGTGGCAGGGCAGGCTGGATGGGAGATGGATGGGGTACGGTGCTGCCCAGCGAGGCCACGTCAGTCCCAAACAGCTCCATGTATGCTGGGATGGGAAAAGCAAGCCCAAGGTGTCCTCGGGGCAGGGCTGTCTCTGAGGATGAGAGGGAAACCTTCCCTTCCGTGGCCAGGGTTTGGCCCCGTAGCTCCCATTAACATTAATGGGAATGGGGCGGCTGAATCCCAGTACTAAAACCCAGCCCTTTTATCCACACCACCAGAGGCCCCGTGCACGCTCACAAGCCCATTCCAGCCCTGATTTACATACTGTACAGAAGGAGACATTAAAACCCGAATGGTTTATGGTAATTAATGCTCATTTAAATATTATACTGGTAACTATCACTTCCAATTCTGCTCAGCCTTGAAGGGGCTCTGTGTGCGTGTATCTACGTACGGGGAGACTTTAGACGGATCCTATATCTTCCCTCCTGATTGCTGCTTTCCCAGAAAAAGGATGTTTAATGTTTGCTAATTGTTTCACTTCTGGAAATTGCTGTGAAAAGCCACCACAGGAGAGCTGAATTGGAAAAAAAAATGTAAAGAAAGTAATAATGGGAAGCCCTGCCTGTGGCAGGGACGTACGAGCTGAACGCGGCGCTGCTCGGGCTGTTTAAGCACTGCACCGGGTGACAAATAGCTATTAACACTGAGCTCCCTGTCACCGGAGGAATGAAGACTACGGAGATCAAACAACCTTTAGGTGAGAACAAAATGCATTATTTATCACCAATTAATCTTTTTTTTCCCCCCCTCCTTGTTCAGTAGGGAGCCCGGGCAGTCAGACTGGGGCAGGAGAGAGCGGTGCCTTGCTGAAGACCAAGGGGACCCATGGGGCACCTTTGGTGAACCTTGCTCTGATCTGCCCTTCGTGACACCCCAATGCCAAGGGGAAATAAATAGGTTGCAGGGCTGCAGGTGGTACAAAATAAAAGCAGGAGAGGCTGCTCTGAAGGCTCACAGAGCAGCCCCAGCAGGCAGGGAGGCGTGGCCCCACACTGCAGCCAGCACCGGACCCCAGCACAGACCAGAGGATGAGCAAGAAGTGAAGATGCCCAATGCCCAAGCACCGAGGGCTCTGTCTCTTCCCAGCCCTGAGGAGTTTCCTCCTGCCAAGATGAAGGATGTAGAAATGTGTCCCTTAAGTAATGCCCAATATCCCCTCTGGCATCTATCAGATGGCCAGCCCCACTGCATCACAGACAAGCAGTTCTCTCTGGGAATATCTCCTGCGCAGGACGTGGAAAAGGGCCAGTGTGGTTTCTCTACCCCCTCCTCACCTCCTCCTCCTCTCTCAGCACTGGGAGCAGAGCCAGAGAAAGCGAGACCTGCGCAGCACACCGGTGGGATGCAGTTATTAGCGGCTGCGGCAGCTGCCCTCCAGTCAATCTCAGCACGTGATGCAAGTGGTGGAGATCAAATTTTGTCCCCTCACCTTCTCAAGGTGCAGCTGAGCTCTGCGGAGCACACACGCTGAGCCCAAGGCCTCTCTCGTTGTTCTCTGCAAGATCAGATGGAGAACAGAGACAAGTGTGCATCACAGAAGTGCAAACAGCAGCAAAGGGGGAGCAGGAGGCTAGAAAAATGCACTGTGTGAGTCCTGGCCACACAAAACCACCAGCAAACACACCCTCACGACGCAGGCAAGTGATCAATGACCACACCTTGTCCAAAAACACTACCCAGGGTATTTGACAGCCTTGTGCTCACAAACGTTGCTCCCTTCCCACCCCACCATGGGAGAGCATGGGAAGCAGCAGCAGCAGAGCCCAGGAGCTGTTGCAACACCTCCATTATCCTAACAACCTTCTCTGCCCAAGCCCTTCGTGCTCGGACCTGTCCCTTGGACCACAGAGCTCCCATTAGAAGTACCCAGGGTGTTTTTTTGCAGGCGAACACTGAGCGATGCTGAGAGCTGTAAGCGAGAGTCCATACCTATTCCCATCGCTTGACAAGGTCTTGCAAGATCCATGTTTGCATTAAAAAGAAATTAAAAGGTTTTCCACTCCACTAGCTTGCCAAAAGCCTGCATACTAAATAGTCAGCGCTACCTATGAGGTTGAATAAAACCTTCATAAAAAAGCTAGCAGTCGTTGAATACATCGTGAACAATGACATTGGGGAGGCATTGTTCTTCTGCTGCCTGATGGACCATGCTGAAACACCTGTTTCTTATCGTGAAACCGTTAATAACTGTCACCACCGAAATCGGTGCTGAGGATGTGTCATTAAGACAAGTTATTCCAGCCACCGCCTAATTGAGAGAAAACAGCGAGGAGGAATAGAGGCAAATCTAGATCGCCGATAAATCCAGATACACGTCAAAAACAGACTGGTTCGTGTGCCCACTGAGGGACCACTTGCCACAGGGGAGGAAAAAAAAAAACGCCAAAATCCCTCGGCCCCCAGATCTGATGGCTGCTGCCTCCCAGACATCTTCTAGCTGACACGAAAGACACAGCTGGATAACGATAGGCAATTTCAACTGATTAACTACAGACATTGACCCTTTCAATTAATTCACGGGGGATTTGTTTCACTCCAATCATCTCCAAAAGCTGCAGCCTCCCCACAGAAAATTGTTTCTGGTCCAGCTTTTCTCCTACACCAACAGTAAGGGGGTAACAGGGCTGCTTACTCTGGGGGGTTCGAGGCAATCCTGACTCAGAGAGGAATGACAGAAAGGACATTTTGTAAGGGTGGATGTTTGCAGAAGGCGACCCCGTAGGGGAAAAAGGTCTTTATCTTCTCAAAGAAACCTAGATTTGTGCGTTATGCAGAAATCAGATCCCCTAACGCTGGCGTGAAATGGACCTGGGGGTGGTGGTACAGGACTAGCCCCTGTAAGAAAGCCTGGTGTTTGATGTGCTGCTCTGCTTGCTGGCTGTACCCACCTGATCTCTACATTGGTCTCCTGGCTCTTCTCCTTCACCAGGAGGCAGCAACTCTGTCCCCCAGGTCTCTGGCACGAGGCTATGCTGTCCTTTCAAAGGCCCAGATTTGGACGTGGGCAATGCAGGAGCTGAAGCTGCAGGAACTCGCCGCATCTGCAAGGAGCCCCGAGAGCTCTCCGAAGTGGTTTGAGCACAGGCCTGTCAAAGTTTAAAAAAAAAAAAAAAAAAAAAAAAAAGTCAATTACACTGACATTTTCCATCAAAAAGAAAAATTAAGTGGAAAATTCCTGCCTAGAGTGACTCTTCGCCCTCAGCCTGGGAATGCAGGCGGGAAGCTTTATCCTGCTCAAGAAGCACCAAGAGGCTCAACTGAGCTTCCTTCGTTCCTTTTGCTTGAAACACCCGAGTTTATTTTCCTCTATGGCCTGGTTAATCCATTAGCACACCCGCAGAGCATCCGTGCGCGCTCCCGAGGTCAAAACCAGTGCGGGTGAGGGGAAAACAAACAGCAAATCTCAGCCCGAGCCCACAGATCACGCTCACAAATGATGCTTCTGCAACCCGCACCACCTTTATTTTCAACTTTCCCCCTGCAGGCGAGGGGGGATGAATCTTCCCCACCGACAGGCGTTGTGTGCCCTTGCCGGGTGTCAGACCTCAATCGTCTTGGTGGCCTCCTCTGTCTTCCTCTGCAAACTCGGTGACAGCCCCGAAACCGATGGCTGAGGGGAGCAAACCACAACGCTCACCTGCTTCATCCCCAAAGGCAAATCCCTGAACAGGTAGAAGGGGGAGCCGGCACTGTAACCGGTTTGCAACCTTTACTGAGGTGGAAATCATCAGTTCAGCCGCACCACCCTGCTTCCCAGAGACTTCTCTCTCCGCAGATTATTTTAAACTCATCTAACTGGGGGGAGCAAGGGTACGGCGTTAAGATTATTAAGATTAAAGCAGAATATTCAAGGGGGGCTGGGGGATGTGGGTGAAGCAGTTACGGGTCGCTCGGGCTGATCTTAACAGCCTGCCGGCTTCAGAACCAACTCAAAGGCAAAAAATTAAGGAAACGGATAAATTAAAAAAAATGATAGAGCTCAGAATGGATTTCACACAGATGGATTCTGCCAGGCAGGCCTGGTAAATATATTTTTTCCGGGAGATAACGGCTTTTTTTAAACAAAAGCCAATCTTTGTCTTTTGTGGGAGAGCTTGACCATCTGGACTTCAGAAAAACATTTGATACCGCGCCACATGGGCGAGTGATTTGTTAAACTGTAGGAGGGGAACATTACAATAAGAATTATGAATCAAAGAAAAGCTCTGCGTAAAGAAAATAAGATTACAATAGATAATACCAAAAAAGGAGGCAGTCTGGAGGGCTTTTGCTGAGCGGGCCGTTCAGTGACTGCTCGCGTTCAACGCTTCCGCAATGACCGGGAGCCAACGCTCATCAAATTCGCTGCTCGGGAGGCAAAACAACCCAAAATAACGAGTGCTGGTGGACTTCAGAAGGAAGTGACGGCTGTGAGGACCAGACCTGATGACCCTCAGTGGTGCAGAAATCAAAAACCAGGCTTAAATGAGTGGTGGCACCGGCTTCCCGTGCTGGATGGAAAGTTGGAGATGAGGGATGAGGAGAGCCACCTGCACATCTCAGCTGTCCGGCAACAGACAGGGGGGCACTGACACAACGCAAGTATAAAAAGGCATCTGCAGCTCCAAATAATTCCAGAACTATTCCCCTCTAATGAAGAGCATCTCAGGGAGATCATATCCTGCCTACTTACTGCCCGTCGTCCACAAGTGAGGGTCCAAATCAGCATTCCTGGGAAAAGGAAGAGCAAGGTTTTCCTTCTCACTCTCTCTATGAAGACTTTTCACAAGAATAGATGTCAATAGCTGTCTGAAAACCCAAAACACCAAGAAAGACGAGAGGTCACGCAACGCAGCAGCTCCAAACTTCGCCAGCCCTCTCCAAATGCAATAGGGAACTCAACCCCCTGGTTTCTCCTTCCTCGGGCAGGTCTATGTGCAAGGTCTTCAGAAAAAGCAGCAGGAATGAAGCTGAGGGATTTTAGCAGAAATTAAACAGAATTCACCCCGGTGAATTTTCAAGACAAGATTCTTTGTGTAAACATTATTAAGCTTCCCTACGGAATGTAATTAGAAGTTCTGCCCCTTTTATCTAAAATTTGCACAAAAAAATCCATCACTGTATTAAGTGATAAAAAGGACTTTCCTTTTTTTTTCTTTTTTCTTCTTAATAAAGGGTGTTTTTAAAGCCTTCCTTAAGCAGGTGAACGTTTCATTAGGAATCCTGGGCTTGTTCTAAGTAAATTTGGATCCCTCCTGAGTAAATCGGGAGGCAGATTCAGGTTTTGCATCAAAATACATGACAATCAGCCTCAAAATTCAGGAGCTTATTCGAGAGGCGAGAAGACGGGAGCAAAAGCTGCCTCTAAAAGGAGAATTACTCAGGTCTACCCAGTAAGTTCTCTGTTTATGGGCAAAACCCACTCACTGTGAGTAAGGACTGTCAGAAATTGAGACAAAATGGTTTTTAATCAGAGAATGTCAACTTGCCAAACACAAGATTTCGCAGGGAGGAGGAAGAAAGGCCACTTCAAATAGCAAATTTATTTACCCGGGCCACTGATTTTTCAGTCATCGTGGAGTTGTCAGCTGTTAAAAAAAAATAATAATTTTTAAAATGTGGATAAAAAAAAGGAGAGAAAGAGAGAAAGAAAAAAGCAAAGAGTCTCACAAAGCAGAAATACCGTGGTATGTTGGGCACTGGCCAGGGATGCAGATGGCTCAGATTCAAGCCCTTCAAAGCAGGGATTTGTACCTCTCTGCCTGCAACATTCCCAGTGAGGCCCCGGCCACAACCCAGCCCCAGAGTTTCACACTCGTCTTATGGTTTAATAAAAATAATAATAATAATAAACCAATCTTGGTTTCATCTTAATGTCGAAAACGAACTTCTTTCAAAATCTCAGGGAGGGTTATGGGATCGGAAAGCACCAGGTCCCTTCCCTCCCTGGTTCTGATTACAGCTAATTACTATCATCGTCTCACATAAGTTTTCCCATAAAAATTCCATTCCCAGCAAACACCCCAACCGAAAGAGTAAGCAGTCATTAACAGGAGCTGTCTCTCATTAAGATCGCTTCGCTAAGGAACAAGAGCTCCTAGGGATGTGCACGCATGCCCATCTCAGCTAAGCCACCGTTTAATAGCTTTCATCCAGTCTTGACATGGGGTAGAAATCTTGAACTCCTGCAAGCTGTGTGAAAAGAAGTGGCTGGGCAGATGAGCGAGGCGACAGCCCTGCCAAGGACATCAGCGTAGCCCCACTGGGGAAAGCCACAGGAGATCCAGCTCTGCACCTCCCACTGCATGCAGAAACATTACGCTTTGGGGAAAAAAAAATAAATTCCTGTCAATAACAATCAGCTCTGCTAAAAGAGAGGAGGAAGAGGTTTTTCTGCCCGGTGCCTCCTTTTGCTGAGCGGCCGCTTCCGCGGGTCGAGCGCTTCTGCAGCTCCGAGCAGATGGCGCGGACACGCCTGAGCTGGAGAAGTCTTCTCTAATAAAACGCCTCTCCCAGAAATTAACTTCAATTAAGGCATGAGCACTTAATATCTGTATCTGAGAACATGCCTTCAGAGAGGCCACTCGCAGCCTCTCGCCTCGCGCCTTCCTTCTCCATCCCTTTTTCCAGGCACCGCGTCCAAACGAAGGCTGGCTGCTGGGGAGAGCATCCTTTCACCTCCTGCCAAGACAAAGCAGCACAGAGCTGCCTCTCCTTATTTTGGGAAGAGGCGACGCGCCCTCCCTCCCACCAGCCTTTCCTCTCCCCCCTTCTCCAGCATCTCCTCCCCTCCCACCCCAGGTAGCGGCGTGGCGAGGTTGCTGCTAATTCGCGTGAAAACGCGCTGGAGCTTCACTCCTCGGAGCTCTCCAGCCCTCCCCGTACGTTTGACAAGGGGTTCAAAACTTGTTAAGAGGAGGCTGGTGGGAGGAAAAGCACTGACAGACAGTACAATCGCGTAAGCCTCTTTTCCTCGGGAAACCAGGCTAAAAATAATACCCTGCAATTTGACAGCCTCAGCCCGTGCCAGGGAGGATGCCGGAGCACAGCCCGGCCAGGCTGTGGGCTCCAGGGCTGCCGGTGGGGATGGAGAGCACGGGGACAGCACCCACCAGCACCACCAGCACCCATGGGACCTACCAGGGTCACCCCGAGCCCCGGCACACGGGGATGGGTGCTCAGGGTGAGCCTTTGGGTGCTGCGGCTTTGCAGACCTCCTCCGCTGCATCACCTGCTCCTGGTGTTCACCTTTGCATGCAGATCCACGCAAATCCCAGAATAAAAATAAAAAAATAAATAAAATAAAATAAAATAAAATAAAATAAAATAAAAAATAAAAAACAACAAAATGCAGGTTTTTGTGAGCAAAAGGGCTCCTGTGAGACCTCTTAGCTACATGTGACAGCCTACATGGCTTCACAGTGCTGCTGCTGCATTCATCTAAAAAACAACAGCAAAAAATGTTTTTTAATTTATTTTTTTTAAAGCGTTTTCACTGTCCAAATCCATGCTCCCCCACCGTACGAGGGAAATCTTGCTGTCACAGGCACAGTTCACTCTCCAAATCCTGCTCTGGTGTTGGAGGAGAAAACCCTTTGGTCGTAATTGCTATGCAAGGGTGGGGAGAGATCCTGATAGCTTTTATTATCAGGGTATCCAGATGTAAAACGAATGCCTGCAATATTTATACATGTCATCACTTATAATAAGTAGCCTGATTTGTCAAACGGAGACAGACTCAAAGATGTCAATTAGGAGGAGACGGAGGGCGAGGGGGGCGAAGTAGCACGCAGTATTTATCAGCGCTGCAGATGCTATTTCCCAAATGTCAAAAACAAAACCCTGAGAGCAGCTCCGAGCGGCAAAGGCACGGCCAGCAACCCGAAACAAGATAGGGAGGGCGAGGGCAGGCAAAGGCTGGCGGCTGGGCCGTGCTTTGGGGTCAGCTCTCTGCTCCTGGGGTGGCTCGGGCAGCCCCCAGAGCTCGGGGAGCGGGAGGAGAGGGAAGGTTTCCTTTGACTGCCCTCTAATGCCAGGTAAAGGGAAAGGGGATGGGTGCTGGAGGAAATCACAGGCACGGAAATTCAGGGCAAGGTGGCAGGACTCGAGAGCAACCCCCATGAGCAGGCGGGAGATGCTGCCAACAACAGAGCGAGAGCCAAACTGCATCTTTGGAGAAACCAGCAGCACCCAACTGCACACCCAAATAAAATATATACGTATTTATACACATATTTTAGGCATTTACTGGCAGGCATCCCTTTTTTTCCCTCAAATCATTAGCCCTGCAGAGAAGTGGTGGGCAAAAGCCCTGCTGGAGGCTGGGGCACTCATTTTCCACCCATGTTTGTGCTCACCTTGGCCAGGCAAAGTCTTGCCTGCAGCAAGATGACCAACACCAAAGCATTCATTTAAAAATTTGCAAGCACCAGGTCCTTCCTTCCCCCAAAACTCCAGGCTCCCCTCCTGGGCAGGTGGCAACAACCCCTGCACCTCTGATAGCCACCAGGGGCTGTAACCACAGAGGATGCCAGGGACAAGGGCACTGGGGTGTCCTCCTACACGGGCACGTGGCCCCACGGGGACCGTGATTAGCAACACCACAGCTGGGATGAAGGATGATGAGATGGAAAGAGCAGAGACCTCCACGGAGTCTCATCCTCACTCCTGACAAAGGAAAATGAGCCCAGACTGCACGAGCCGACAGCGACATCAGAGATAAACCAGCAGCCTCTCGCTGAAGGGCCCTTAGAGACACAGCTGCGTGTGATGGTGGCTTGTCAAAGCAAGGGAAGGGCACGCAAAAACACCTGCAAGGAGTGAGAGCTCATTCCTCGAGCCCAGATTTAACAGGGCATGAAGTAACTCGAGTGCATTTTGTCGCTGAAGATGGTGAACCCAGACAAGGTTTTGTCCCAGCCGCCTTCTCCCAGACTCACGGCAGGCAACCCCCTATGTGCTTCTTGAATCAGATGGTAAAAGAAAATATCCCATGGCAAGGAGCTACATGGGAAGAAACACGGTCTCAGAGCCCACCTGCCCCCAGGAAGCGACATGGCACCTCGGACAGCAAACACCCAGCGAGCATCCCCACGGCCACCAATGTCACCCCGCACCAAAGTCACCACCAGGAGCCCCGCAGGACTCCCGAGCCAAACCGAGGGAGATGCTGACATCGGGATTCGTCTTGCTTAACTTAATAACTGCAGACACCTACGTCTGAGCTACTCATTCTGCACGCCTGTCTCTCCGTAATGAAGAGAAATAGGCACTTTTAGGATACAAATCGATTTTAGGCGTCCGCGTTAGCGGATAAAACCTGAGCTGAAAGCACTCGTGCTGGGGAAGTTGCAGCCATCGAGGTCCAGGCTGGCCACGGCTGTAGGCTTTTCAGAGCAGAATTTTAAAAATAAATAAATAAATACAGGTTTTGGGGGGGGCAATTCCCTCCCAAGCACAAGACAGGGAGCTGCAGAAGGAGCCGGCGCCTTCACGAGGCGAGAGCTGATCTCCGGAGACAGCCGTAGCTGCTGGGCGAGCGGGGTCGTCCTCGCCGCCGTCGGAGATGGAGCAGCCAGCCTTCCTCCCCTGGGGATGACAGGCACATTAGCACCTTCTCCTTGTTGACAGTTTGTTTTCATCCGAGCTCCCCGCTAATTATTTCCTTTTGATTTGGAGACTTCAGAAGAAGAGATGCCGCGGTGGCTTCCAGATACCCGACACGGGGCTGGAGCAAGAGGGGGGAAAAAGCCCCGAGTGAGGCTGGATGGGGAGGCTCCTTCTTGTCTCGGCATCACACAAGCAGGAGCTTCTCTTCAGAGATGTTTAGGGCAAATAAAAACCAGGGGCCAGAGCTGAGAGCTACGACACTCACTGAGATTTGGGGCTGACTCCGGGAGAACCGACACGGTGAGCTCCTGAAGCAAGGCTGATGGTACTAGCAACGTACCCAAGCCAGGCAACACCCAAAAGCATCCCAAAACCCCCATAAGACTACACAGGGTTACCTGAGCAGTCAGCTTTCAAACCTGGAGGGCCACTGTACCCCCCTGGGCCTGTACCAGGTCTGAAACACGAATTTCTGTAGTGCTGCTTCAAGTTATTCCACGGGAAGAGACTCGCTGAGCAGCAGCAGGTCAGCGAGGGTGATGCAGACCAGTGGCTTGGAGAATTCTTGTTTTGACCAGCAGCTGAAGATCAGAAAGGAAAGGGCACGCTCAGGCGGAGGAGGAGGTCTCGAATGGGAGAGGACACAGCCGGGGCCAAAACACAGCCAGCGCAGGGCACAAAATGCCCAAAATGCCTGCTTTACCTGCTCCATCCCCTGCAAACGCCTCGCTGCTCCCACCAGCATCCCTCAGCCCTGCGAAGACTGGGCTCCATCCACCCCAAACCCATCACAGCACACCCACGAGGTGCTGATAGCACCCCAGGGACACGGTTCCCTAGTGCCCGCGGGGCCGGCGAGGGATTTGCATGCAGCAAACCTCCGCCCGCTCGGAGCCCTCTCGAGCCCCTGCGTTTGTCTGAAATGGTCTGGTAGAGATTTGCCGGTACTTTTCAAGCTCTGACAGCCCTGTTTTTCCTTCAATTGCCTCTGAGCCACTTCAGGAAATTTTCATACATAAATATGGAAATATGCAAAAGCCCTCCGATTTATAGGATCTGACACTGCGGTTTAAGCGAATCCCCCATGATCCTGCCTCCCTCCCGTGCCCCCACCCGCAGCACCCCATCCTCTGGGCTCCAGCTGCTCTGTGTGGAGCTGGAATCCTTCCTGGGTGGGCTGGGGGCCACGTCCACGCTGCCCTTCGCCTCCCAACCTGCCAATCTCCTGTCATTCGTGCTGGGTCCTCATGTGCAAGGGCCTGGGCTGCTGCTCTGCTGCCCTGGGTAGTCACCACCGCCAACTCGAGAGCCACAAGGACATGTTGGGAGCCTTACCTGGGCTATCCGAGGCCTTCCTGCCC